CCGTGCTGGCGCTCATCCTGGCCCCGTGGCCTGCAGCTCCGGCGCCCCGGGCGGCTGCTCCTGTGGGGCCCGGCCGTGGCCCATGCATTTATAGCCTCGGCCGCTGATCTCACCCGCCTTTATAAATAGCCTCCCAACTGCTCAGCTGTGGGCAAGGTATACAGCGCGGGGAGGGGGCGGCGCGGAGACTGCGGCCCTGGAGAGCCCGGCCCCCAGGCCAAGACCCCCTCCCGCCGCTGTGTCCCCGCCCCAGGGCTGGCGGAGGGGGCCACTGCTTGGGATCAGACCCTAGGCTGAGCCTGCACCCCAGGATCGGGATGACATGTACACGGGACAAAACAACCCAGACCCCAGGGGTGACTGCAGGGCCACCCATGAAAGGATGTGGTCGACATGGCGACCATGTCCTTAGGCGGAGCCCCCCTGTGCCCCAGGACACAAGCATCCCTTTTGGAATATTCTCAAACTTCCCACTTAGTCCTGTGGGACTCCTCCTGGAGGTGACCCCTCCCATTCCCATCGGAACCCCATTCCTAACTCGGTTCCTGCTTTTCCTGTGGCTCATTGACCCCTAAGACAGGTGGGAGTTAAGCACCCTCCCTGAATGTGGTGTCATTGAGGACCCCTTGGCCGAGCAAGTGTCAGGGATGTGAGCTGAGGGCCACTCATTCCTCCCAGCAGAGGTGCCGGGCCCACCGAGTGGAAGATTCCTGCTACTGGACCCGAATGGCCTCCCCCTAGCTCCTGGGCTTCCTTGCCCTGCTCTGCTCATTGTCTCCACCAACACTGGGCACCTTGCTTGGGGAACAAGCAAGTCCACAGCCACTGCCCCTTGAGCAGGCTGATGACAGAGGGAATCTGTGACCTTGGAGCTGCATCCTGAGAAACCAGGGGGAATTGGGTCCCCAGAAGCATCCAGGGCAGCACAGGGCACTGCTGGGGCTGAGGACTGCAGGATGTGGTCGAGACCTCCACATGCTGGCCCTGGCTGCAGCATGGTTGCGGGGGGGAAGCGAGAGGCCTCGAGCAGGCAAAGGGGCCCCACTGGTGTCTGAGGGTACTGGTGTGGAGTTCCAGCAGAGGCAGATGAGCAATCTGCTCTCAGGAGATCATGCTGGCTGCTTTGAGGAAAAGGGAATGGAGCTCGGAGGCCAGTTGGGGGAATCCAAATGAAGTGGATGGGGCTTGGCAGTGACAGTGATTATCCCAAGAATGGGAGACACTTGGTCCAGTGTCCCTATGCCAGGGAAGAACTGGTAGCGGCGGGGCAGACATAGATGGAGGGGGGCAGCTTTTCTGTGGGGCCGGGGGAGGCTGGGGAGGGTAAAGCCTGGGGGTGCCTGATGGCCTCTTTTTCCTTGGGTGGCAGGTCACAGCCATGGGGCCAAGTGTCTCCCAGACCTCGGGGGGAGCACCAAGTCGACTCTTGCAGGAGAAGGCAAAAGCTGGGGACTGGGCCTTTTCTAAAAAGATGTATTTCTGTTTCATTTCCAGATGTGATTCTCTAGCAAGCAAATAAATACAGTGGGGGGCGGGGGTGGTGGAAGGGCAGGGACTGTTATAAATTAGAAACAAGCCCAGTTGGGGAAAGGCTGGTGGGCTGGGGTGGGAGGCGGCTCGCAGGGAGCCCACTGCTGGGCACGGCGCCTGCCTGTACGCCGGCACCTCCAGGCTCTGCTGGCCCCTCCTTTGTCACTGGCTCAGTCCAGGGGTCATAAGGCACTGCGGTGGCAGTTCCTGCTTGCTGCTTTCTAAGCTGGCCCAAGCTCACAGATCGGTCACTTTGTTCTCTACCAGGGCGGCAATCTGCTGCAGGCGGCAGGCCAACTGCATCTTCTGGCCCACAGGGTCCTCCTCTAGGGCACTAATGATCTGCCAGGGCAGACGAAGGTACCGCCTGAGGTCCCACCCCTCTGCCCGCTGGCCCAGGGCCACTTAGCCCTGCTTTCATCTCAGGAAGGGCCTGAGGATACAGCTGGGACTGGAGTATTGCTTGCTGGAGAATCACATCTGGGGCCTCCCTGGGGAATCCAGCTGGAAACTAAGCCCCAACCTGGGTCCTTCCAGCACAGGCAGGCATGCTTCCTCCCCTCTGCCTGGATTGGGCCACCCCTGGGAAGTTCCACAGGCCTCCCTCTTTGCTCCGCCTCGCTCTAGGTGCCCGCCCCTCCCATCCGGAGTGCCCCTGGCCTCACCTGGTCGTAATACCTGTGAATGTGATTGTAAAGTTCTTGCAGAGCCTCCAGACAGTGGGGAGCAGAGGTGTAGTTCTGGGGGCAGCACATGGGGGGAGGGGTGAGGCCCCAGCCTGGGCTTCAAGCCCCAAGGCTTCCCCCTCCACTCTGCCAGTCTTTCCCCCCCTATGTGAAGGAGAGTGCCCCCTGGGCCATGCCTCACCCCAGAGAGCTCAGCCAGAGCCGAGTTCATCTCCTGGTAGCTAGCTGGAGAGCTCTGGCGAATGTCCGCGTAGTACCTGGAGGAGCGGACAGTCAGGGACAGGGCAGGGCAGCCCCATCCCCCACAGCCCTGATGGCTCTGACACCTACTTCTCCACCATCTGCTTGTAGCGAGGGATCTCCCGGGCGTAGAGCAGTTTGTTCACTGGGGAGTCCTGCTCCAGGTGGGGGAGGTGCTAGGCATGAGCTAGGAGGTGGAGGAGCCACCAGCGTCCCCACCTCCTGGACCCCATTATACCCACCCCCAGCCAGGCTCTGCGCAGAGCCCTCGTGGCTTCCCCCACAAACTCAGCTCTCACCCGGCCCACTTTATGCTCTGAGATGGTGCAGGAGTCGATGAAAGTCTGGGCAATAACTGCAAGGATGGCGTCCACGTTGTCCGACACCCGCACATCGAAGATGAGCTGTGGGTTCTTCAAGGCATTCACCCAGAAGCGCAGCAGCAGGCTGGGGACATGGGCTGGAAGTGGGCAGAGGCCCTGGCCCACCATGGTAACTTCCTCCCACCCCTGCTACACGCACGTCTGGTCTACTGGAGGTGGGGACCTCAGGCAGCATGTGCCATCGGCCAGGGACCCTGGCCCTGATTTCCACTGGGAGCTGTCCTCATGGCCCAGGTGATCTGGGCCCCAGATACTTCTGTGAGTTCATGCTGGGAGGCCCACAAACCCAGGGTAGGTGCCACAAAACCTGGGCTCCTGCCTTGGACCTGCCACCTCTGCTCTGGGAATGTCCTTGTCCCTACGGGACTCAGTGGACCATCTGCACAGCTTGGGGGCAGGAGGAAACAGGAAAGGCACCTGTTAGTCTTCCAGATGTGCAGTGTCTCCGGGTCCTCTATGCCATGCTTCTCTGCCAGCTCGTCCAGGAAGTCAAACAGGTACTTGATGGCGATGGGCACGGGCCGGTTCACGCTGAGGATGGCCTGGAAGGTGTCATCCACAAACTTCTGCAGTGTGCCCTGCAAGGCAGGGGCGAGGGCTGTGTGGAGGGCAGGAGGTGGGGACTGGCAGCTAGCGGGGCTGCCCCTCTGCCCCTCTAGGACCCTGTCCACTCCCCAGCTCAGTCAGGGGCCCCTTGGTGAGCCTCCATCCGGGCCTGGCTCCCCCGGTTGCACCGACCTTCATGGAGAGCAGGCGGGTGAGGTAGATTTCTGGAATGGCCTTGGCCCGCACCCGTTCCCGCTCCCGCTCCCGCAGGCTGCTGCGCCGTGCCTTGGCCACTTCTGGCTCCTCGGTGGCCTTCACCAGGTGCCAGAGGCGGACCCCGCCCTCCTCGCCGTCCTCCAGCATGGGGATGTCTGAGGGCGTGGGAGCCCGGCCTCAGTCCTCTGCCCCTGCTACCCACCCTACGCCACTGGCGTGGGATGCCCAGTTCACTCTCTCCACAGGGCAGGGCGGGGACACGGAGGAAAGGAGGGCAGATGGGGAGAGAAGGGGAGAGAAGGGTGGCAGCCCAGGGGCTCACTCACACCAACAGCCCATGGCTCTGGAGCCCCAGGCCTTTGGCTCTGCCTGGAGCTCTGCCTTGCCTGCTGGCAAGGTGGGGTGGGCGACGCAGGCAAGGCAGATGGCGTTACCAGGACTTCTGCCTGCCCAGCCTCAGGCTCTGGTGAGTGTGGCCCAGGGCCGGTGCCAGCCCTGCTCGAGCTCCAGGGGCAGATGGGCATCTGAGCTGGAGTGACTCACTGTCTCCGGAGGGGCAGCTCTGGGCCAGGCTCTGGGAGATGGCACTGCTGTTGTGCAGCTGAGGGATGAGCCCCACTGTGGCTCCATCTGGGACCTGGTGGGGGGCGGGGGAGCAGAGTCTAGCTCCCTTCACTGGCTGATCCCCCAGACAGGGGACTGTCCCCTGCTCCCACCCTCCCCACCCATCCGACCAGCACCTTGTAGTGCTGCAGGGTGTTGAGTTTCTTCCAGTGGTTCTGGGTCACTGAGGTCAAGTCCTCATCTGACAAGGTTAGGTGACCAGCTAGGCCTGAGCGCCACTCTGGAGGGACCCAGGAAAGCCAATCAACCCACAGCCTGTTCCCCAAGTCCCCCATGCATAGCAAGGCAGAGGTGAGCATCTGTGGACTGAGGGGCTGGGCAAAGGTCCCTGGGGTGGGTGGACAGGCAGGTGGGGCGGGGTTGGCTTTCTCACCAAGGTCTAGGGCATGCACTGAGGGCCTCTGGGAGAAGGGGGTGCCCTTGTAGACTTGATCCAACACCTTCTCCTTGACCTGGGTGATGGTGTCCGTGTCGAGCACCCGGGCCGGCACACGCTGCACCTCGCTGCTCCCTGCAGCCCCGCCAGCCCCAGGGCCCACCAGCACCATCAGAGTCAGGGGCCGGAATTCCACGTCCTCCCGCAGCAGGCGGCTGTCATTCAGGGTTCGTTTTGCCTTGCCTGTCACAGCATCCACAGGACCCTTGTCCACCTGGTACTGGATGGCCCGGAAGAGCATGTACAGTGGCTCACCAGCCACCTCCTGCAACCATCAAGATGGGCCAGTGTTGGCCATGGGGGCCATTGTGCCTGCTGGATGAAGCCCAGAGGAGGGTGTGGTGGGGGTGGGGAGGGGCACAGAGCCAGGGTGCATGGATGACAGCAACCAGTGCAGGCCTCTGGATGGGGGCTCCGAGCCCTCCCCTTCCCAATGCCCCCTCTTGCTGGGCCTCACAGTGAGCCTGCGGGACAGGGAGATGGCTCTCATTATCCTCTTTTCATGGCCTGCCCAAGGCCCTCAGGGGAATTGGTATGCAGGTCAGAGAGGCCACAGGCAGGCAGCAGCCCGCACATGGTGGGAGAGAAGAGTGCCATCCAGGGCTGGGGCAGGCTGGGCAGTGCCCCTCACCCTCAGGAACGCATAGAGGCAGATGGACAGCCAGTTGGTGAGCAGCTTCTCCACCATGGTCTCTGTCCTGTAGGGAGTAGTCACAGGTCCATCAGCCCTTGTGCGCAAGTCCCCAGTGAACATGCCCCTCCACTTCCCTTCCAACCTGCTCCTGGGGGCTCCTGGCCCCGCTCACTCAAGGGGCAGAGCCTGCCCAAGGTGGGGCACGGACAGGTCAGTTGTAAGCCCCCACCCCTGCTGCCATACCCAGGTCAAGGCCAACCTGCGCAGCATGAGCTTGGGGTTCTTGTGCACGTAATGGGCCGCTAGGTCACCAAGCAGAGTCCTCATGATGTTGGTCAGGTACTCAAGTTTGCCGTGCAGAGCCAGGGACAGCAGTGAAGCCACATGGCAGCGGTCCCTCTGGGAGAAGCTGGGCTGCTCCTCCAGGGTGTGGATAAGCTGGGCAGGGGGCTGGTGCTCACTCTGGGAAGCCCCATGCACCCCCCCACCCTTGTACTCACACCTCTGGCCCGGCTGGGCCTGTTCCCATCTCCATCTCTTTGCCCACTGAGGCCCCTGCCCTGCCACCCGCTGAGTGCCCATAAGGCCCTCACCGTGAGGAGGAAGAGCTTGCTGTTGAGCAGGTGGGAGAGCTGCGTGAGGCCCTGGCGCACGGTGGCACGGCGGCCCTCTTCCCCGGGCCCTTGGAGCTCAGGCTGCAGCGGGCAGCCTCCGCGGCCAGGGAAAAAGGCGCGCTCGGCATAAGTGCAGTAGTCCAGGAAGGGGATCCCGCTGGCCTCCAGGTCGCTGCTGAGGTCGGTCATCTCGGTCATCAGGTCTGCGGGTCAGGAGCCGCCGAGTGTGAGCTCAGGCCAGGCAAGCCCTCTGTCCCCACGCCCATCCCCCACCCCACCTGTGAACTCCTTGCGGCACTGGTCTCCCACACCGGTCTCCAGGTTCTCTAGCTGCACCAGCACCTTCTGATAGTCCCGCAGGGCCTGCTTGCTCTTGTGTCTGCAGCCAGGGACCAGGCATTAGTCACACGCCCAGGCCAGGAGGGCCACCAGCCCAGGGGCCTGCTGTGGGCCACCCTTCCCAATAATCAAGAGGGCGGAAGGGAGACCCCTCACCTGTACATGAGGGTGAGGAGGAACACGGCGGCGATCAGCACGGCTGCTCCCATGCCCAGGCCCACCTGGGCCTCCACGGGGAAGGCAGACAGCGTGGGCTCAGCCTCGTACTGGACGGGGCCCAGGGCCAGCCTCACGTTGCCCATCTGCACCTGGGGGCAGGGCTCCTGAGTGTGGGCCTGCAGTGCCAGCCCTCCCACCTGCCCGCCTGGGCGCAGACTCACCACGAACTGTGGCAGGGCACTGGAGCCGTTGGCGGGCTGGGGGGCGCGCGGGGGCGGCTGGCAGTACAGGTGGGTGAGCGTGAGCGTCTTCACCAGGCATTCGCCATTGCCGATGTGCACACGCACCTCCTCCTTGCTGATCCCCAGGTTGAGGCCCTCGCCCTGGGAAACACCAGCAGCCTGAGCTGGTCCAGCCCCCCACAGAGGTGACCCGAGTGCCCTGGCGGTGCTGGGTTGCCGACGGCCCTCACCTCCACATCCAGGACGTGGCCTGGCTTGAGGCGGTAGGGGCGGGTGGGCCCCTCGCGACTGAGGGGGGCCAGGGGGGCCGGGCGGGGGTTGGGCTGGTACAGGAAGGCCTGGCCCCCACTGGCGCTGGTGAAGTCCACGTGCACGTTGTCTAGGGCGAAGAAGACCCGCTGTGGGCGGGCCCCATCTGGCACAGCGGGGCTTCGGCACAGGAGGAGGGCAGACGAGTTGACGGAGCAGACGGTGGAGCACTATGGGGGTAGCCAGGGGCGGCGCCATAGGTGGGGTGAACTGGGGCTCCCCTGCTCGCTCCTGGGGACATGGCACACCCCCCATCCCTCCTCACTGGGCACAGCCTGGGGGCAGCCCTGGCACCTGCTGGTTGGGTGCTTACCTGCAGCACGCCCCCCCCAAGCTGGATGCAAGCCTGGGGGTCTGCAGCAGGGACCCCACAGCTCCTCATCGGGTTTGGGTCCTGGGGCTGGGTCCCCAAAGCCTGCAACTCTGCCTCAGCCTCCAGCCACACAGACAGAAGGGGCCTCTGCACCACGTCCAGGCCCGTGCCCCTGACACGGATCAGCCGCCCACCCCTGTGCCAGGACGGCAGTCAGGGGGGCGGGCGGGCAGTGGGCAGCCCAGCCCCACTCCCTGCCTCCCCTCTGGCATGGTGCCCAGGCTGTTCCTCACCCCCGGAAGCTGACGCTGGGCTCCGCCGCCACGAGCTGGGGATTGGCAGTGTAGTGGAAGGTGCTGGCAAGCAGCGTGCGCTGGGCATGGCCAAAGACCACAAGGACCACCGCCTCTCCTGGGGCAGCCTGGGGCATGGTGCGGCAGACGATGGCCTCAGGACACACTGGCTCCTGGCTGCAGGGTGGGCAGAGGGGTCTTTCATCTGGGGCTTGATTGCTGCCTTTCGGCCCTAGCCCTGGCCCAGTCCCCCACGAGAGGACCACTTTGCCTCCCTCAGTGAGGGCAGAGACCCCTGGGGTGGGCACAGCAGCCATTTGTCTTGGATTTGATGGGGATCTTAGGGAGCCTGACTCTACTGCTCCCGCTGTGTGGAAGGGGGCACTGAGGCCTGCAGGGAGTGCCCCCTACACAACAGCAGCCAGGCCCAGACCAGAAGGGGAGCAGCCTCTGCCCCTGGTGGGCAGGCAGGGCCGGATACTCACATGGGACAGGGCTGGCCGCCCACAAAGGCACTGATGTTGCCTCCTATCTGCAGGTGCTGCCCGTGGATGGTGAGCTGGGTGCCCCCTGCCTGAGGGCCCCACCGAGGACTCAGGCTCAGCAGAACAGGGTCCTGGGGAACAGGGCAGGCTGGGGCAGGTGTAGCAGCCTGGCCAGGTGCTTCCTCACCTTGGGCCCATCCCCGAGGCCTGCAGGCTTCGAGGTGCAGGCCCGAATGTTGGCTTCGCCCCCGCCCCCGGGGCCACAGCCGACCACACCCCCCTTCCAGAAGTGCTGTGCCTGAGCCTCTACAGCTCCCCGCTGCCAGCTCTCCCTTTGGGACGGCCTCCTCTCCACCACAGCTTGCACTCCCAGATCCCCGAGCTCTAACCCTGAGATCCAGTTGCCACCTTGGGGTGCTGCATGTTCCAGCAGAGCTCCTGACGCTAACACAACCCTGCCTTCTACTGCTGCCGCCCTGGGCTTCCCGTATCAGAAATGGCCCCACCAGGTGCCCAGGGCTGAGGCTTGTGCCCGGAGAGGCTCCCACTCTCCCCTTTGCCCCCACGCCTGCCAGCAGCCAGGCCCGCAGCAAGTCCTGACAACTCCGTGTTCCAGAATGGCGTGGCTGCCCGCTGCTCACTGCTTCCACTGCCTGCCTCCTTCCTGGGTGGCTGCCAGCAGCGGTGTCCCCGCTGTCCCGCCACTGCCCCAGCCTGCCTCCACGCAGATCACGTGGCTTCCCTCCCTCAGATCCAGTCTGACATCCTCGCCTAGGTGTCTGCCCCTCCTGGCCCGCCCTCCCACCACCCCTGTACTGGGACCACCGCAGGGTAGGCACTGACCAGGTAGGTGAAGTGCTGGGTCGAGAGGCCTGGCGGTCGACTCTTAATGGCCACTTGGACGGGCCCGGTGGTGCCATTGGGGGCGGGAGATGTCACACACACAATCCTGAGGAGCCGAGGCCCGGGAGTTGTTCAGGGCCCCGTGGGAGCCATGGGCAGCCTGCCAGCTACTGCCAGGAGCCCGTTCCCTTCCCCTCCCCTGTTTATTTTCCTTTCGTGCTCTGACCCAGGGCCCCACACGTTTTGGCCACACGCCTCCTTTCTCTCTGGGTGGCTGGTTTCTGAGGGCCTCCTTAGGAGGGCGTCCCCTCCTGCACCCGCCCACCTGGGCGCCTCACCGGGCCGAGGTGCGGTAGAGAGAGGGGTCGGGGCTGCAGGGCCGGCCAGCCACGCTCACAGCATCCTGCACGTCGGCAAAGGCCCGGCCCAGGTTGGAGCCCACGATGGTGAGGGCCAAGCCACCCTCTGGGGGACCAGTCAGGGGCTCAATCTGTAGCAGAGAGGGATGGAAGATGGGGTCCCCCAAGCCCACACCCCACTGTGCAGTGGGGGGCACATGGCTAGCCAAGCAGCCTGAGGCCGGGCCAAGCTGCTGGGGTTCAGGGCCTGAGGCAGGGCTGGTCTGAGCTGGGAGAGGATAGGACAGTAGGGGCCATCGAGGGGTGGTGGGCTGGGCAGTGAGGGTCCGGTAGGAGGGTTCGATCACCTCATCAATGCTGGGCATGGGGCACAGCAGCTCCACGGCCTCTGGTGGGCACAGTGGCCCGTAGCGACAGGCAGGCTGGCCATCCCTGCACCACAGGCAGCCCAGGCTCCCATTGGCAGCCTGGCAGTGGCTACAGTCAGGGTGGCCCACGGCGCAGTCATACAGGATCACTAGGGAGGGTCAGGCAGTGAGCTGAGGCACCTCCCCCAGTGCGTGCCCTGCCTGCCCCTGCCTGGCTGCCCGGCTCACCATGAAGAGTTTGGGTGTTGTCCAGCCTCTGGGTCTCACCCCGGGTGACGTAGATGGGCACTGGGAGCTCCCGCTGGGACATGGAGGGGTGGAACTGGAGGTGGAGAGCAGGGTCGGGCTTGGCCTCTACTTGGGTCACCCCTGCCTCCTGCCTCCTCCAGGACACCCCCCAGAATGAGTGTGATTGTTCCCTGCATCTCCCGCCAGACTGGGAGCCCAGGGACAGATGCTCTCTTGAATGACAACAGGATAGAAGCAAGCCCGAGGGCCTGGGAAAAGCAGACGGAGGGAGGGGCGCGAAATGGGATGTCCGAGTGCTGCAGAAGGTGCCTAGTGGCCGGCGAGGCTGCGGGGTGGCCACCCACCTGTTGGGCCTGGCACTGGATGACGCCCATGTCCCCTGCTGTCTCCTCTAGGGAGGCTGGCAGCATCTGCAGTTCCCCGGGCAGCTGCAGCCAGCAGTGGTAGGAGGCAGGCAGGCCCTGTGGAGGACACTGTCAGGACCCTGGACACTGTCAGCACTCCCCTCCACCGGCCCTGCTGCCCGCCCCGTTGCTCACTCGAAAATGTTGAAGGTTCCGCACATGCAGGGCCAAATGGCTCTCCCAGCCCACAGGCACCAGGCGGGGACCTGCCAGGCCCTCGACCTGGGGGCAAGCCCCTGGGCCACGCACCTGGAAGTCCACCTGGGAAAATGAGACCCCTTAGCCCTTCAGAACCCAAGAAGCCTGCTCCCCGGGCAGGCCTGGGCAGGGGGCAGTGCCTGTGGGCAGCTGTGGGGGGCCGAGCAGGTGAAGGGAGCCCCGCGGGTGGGGCCCACCCACCTCCTGGGCGCTGTAGATGGTCCTCTCACCCTCTGGGCAGTGCTCGCCATACACACAGTGGCTGCTCTGGGGGCACCAGTGGCACCGCCAGAGGCTGCCCACACAGGTGCGGCACCTGGAGAGGCGGGGGACTGCTCAGGCTGGGTGCCGTCTGGGGTTGTCACCCCTACCCAGTAGGAGCCAGGCCTGGAAACTCACGGGGCATCCGCCTCCAAGGCCTGGACAGCGCTGCAGTCGTAGAAGGAGAAGTTGGCAACAGCCACAGCCACGTCCTCGAACATCAGGGCCAGGGGCAAGGTGACGTGGTCTGGGAGGGGCGGTGGCGGCAGGGCAGGTCATGCGGCTCCTGCCCCCTCCAGCTCCCACCCAGCCCCTACCCCAGGGGGGCCCTCACCTGTGCCTGGAGGGGTAAGCGGCACCTGATCTTGGGGAGGGGTGACGCAGGCCACGTGGGGCCCTTCCACGTGAGCCAAGCTCTCATAGTCCCCAAAAGCGCAATGGAAGTATTCGTCCATAGCCAAGGTGGGCAGGTGGGGGACAGACAAGGTGACCTGGGGCACGTGTGAGGGAAACAGGGAGTTGGAGCCAGAGCACAGTGGGGCAGTGGGCAAGCCGGGCAGGCAAGGGCACTGCTGGGGGCGGGAGCAGAGGCAGCGGGAGAGGAAGAGGACAGGAGGCAGCCCGGGGTTGTGGCCACACTGCCTGGAGGGCCCTTTGGTGGCGGGTGCCCTACCTGGCCCTGCTCCTGGCGGGGGTGGTGGGCCGGCAGCAGGCTCTGGATGTGCAGGCAGCGGCTGTGCTGCACGTAGCTCCACAGCCACTGGGTCGGCTGGGCTGCCCGCTCGCACTGGCCCTTCCAGGTACACCTGCCGGCAGGGGCCCACCGGGTCACCGTGTGGGTCTCGGGCTCCCCAGGTGACCAGTAGTAGGGGATTGGGAGGCTGGCCCTGTTAGAGCACAGTGGGTGGGGGGAGTGAAGGGGCCTGTGCTGAGAGAGGAGTGGGCTGGGCACGTGGGGCTTCGTGGCTGAGGCGCGGGCTTTGGACTTGATTGTGGGTGACAGGGATCCGCCTCGGATGGGGGCGGGGCACGAGGGTCTGACTTAGGGTTGCCATAAGGGATTCCTGGGGCTGCTGCATACAGCATGGGCTGGAGGGGAGCTGGAGTGGGCCAGGGGACACCGGCAGCTGTGCAGGGGTCCTGGGAGAGGTGACAGAGGCCTGGGTGGGGTGGAGCTGCTGGAATAAGAAGTGAACAGATTGGGCAGTGATGGGATGGGGGTGGCGACCAGCTTCACAGCTCGGTTGGGTGTGGCAGGATGGGGGACTTTAGCAATGAGCAGGGCTGGCCTCCAGGCACACCTAGAGCTACTTCCAGGTGAAGCTTCCTGGCGCACACCACCTATCGGCCCAAGCCTGGCCACAGGCCCTGCGCTCACCTGCCCTGGAGGACGCACCAGCCGCACAGTGGGTCCCGGGCCTGGAGGCAGCTGGTGCAGTCCGGAAACTGGAGGCAGGCTGCCACGGGTACTCGGTCCACCTAGGAGGGAGGTCCGCGGGGGAGAGAGGCAGTCGGTACGGAGACTCGGGCTGTGTGTGGCTGGCCCCCAACCCTTGGGATAGCCTCACCTGCTGGGCAGTCAGGACATAGAGGTGGCCACCACTGCTGTCCACTAGCAGGTCTGGGCTGATGGCCGAGCCTGGAGGCCCCACTTGCTGGGAGTGGTACACCTGGCCTTGGGAGCCATTGAGAAAGACCTAGGTGGGGGGCAAGGACAGGGCTGGGCCACGCTGCCAAGCCAAGGCCAGCTCTCCAGATGGCCAAAGGCTGATCGTTCAGGACACGTGCTCTCCTCCCGGTGGGGGCTCATTTTCAGGAACATAAAGACTTCCAGGGAGCACCCTGTCCCTCAACAGCTGGCCCCCTTCCTGTCAAGCCATCGAGGGAGGCACACATTGCTTCCCCATTCAGCACCCTCAGGGCCAGGACATTCTACAGGGGGCTGCAGCACTGGGGCAGAAGGGGCACCCTGGGTGAGGCCCTTGGATGCCAAGGGCTGTTCTGCCAGGTGCGAGGGCAGCTATAGGGGGACAAGCAGGTCACCAGGAGGCCAGAACTTGCCTTGGAGAGACTTATGGGGCCAGGCTGGCTCTGAGCACCAGTCCCTGCTCACCGTGCCCACCTAGACCGACTGTGAGCTCCCATCAACCGGAGAAGGTGGGACTGCCTCAGGAGGCTCCTGGGCAGTCACTCTAAGCCACCCATGTGGAAGCCAGAGTAGGAGGTGGCACCCAGCCCCCCATCAATGTGTGGTGAGGCCCTCTGACCCACCAGCAAGTGGAGGGTGCTGGGGGCATCCCTGAGCCATCTCAGGCATGGGTGCATGTGGACAGGCAGAAAGTCTAGGCGCAGCCTGGCAGTGTGGAAGACATGCTAGCACCGCCCCCCCATCAGGCCCTCACCTTATGTAGCTGGCCCTGGGTGTCCCCCAGGAAGGCTATCATGTGCCCGTCTGCCTGGAGGGCTGCTACGGCACTGATGGGCTGCCCAAGCTGCAGCACGGGCTGGGCCTCCAGGGGCTGGCAGCCAGCAATGGGGCTGGGAGTGTGCTCGTCACCACAGGGGTATGACTCAGGGGAGTCCTACATGGGAAGGGAGAGGAGAATCAGCTCCCTGAAGAGCCAGTCAGTGGGGAATGCCCAGGCAGTCCCCGGGAAGAGAGCCTGGCAGGCTGGGGGGCAGGGCCAGGGGACCCAAGGGCAGAGCAATCAGAGCCGGGGACCAGGAGGCTGGGACCCCAATCCCCATGGTAGGACGAGCATGCAGCACAGAGAGGGAGAGAGACGGGAAGAAACAGGCTGAGAGCAGGTAGGAGACTAGGCGACCAGGAGACCGAGCCAGTCCCTCCTTGACATCCCAGCCAAGGGGCCAGTGAGAGATGATCGTGGCAGAGCACCCGTGCCTGCGTTGAGGGATGCCCCCATCCCCGGAGGGAGAGGCAGGGCAAGCAAGATGAGGGGCATCGGGCAGAGGTGCAGAGAGAGAATGCAGCACCTGCTGCCAGGATCTGGGAGCCAAGTCCTGGCCACTCACAGGGGGCAGGGTGACACAACGCGACGTGACACCATACTCCACGGTGGCTTCCTCCGTGCCACTGGGGCCCTGGCCGCCTGCCGTGTAGCAAAGCCTCCGTGCCTGCTCCATGCTCCTGTCCAGCTGGGCCAGAGGAAAGGTGCACAGGGCCGCCTGTGCCCCCCTCGGGCCTGCAGCAAATGCCCCTAGCAAGGTGCCCGGGGCAAGGGAGGCAGCCTGGATGAGGCCCTGGCCCTGGCAGGTGAGGGGCACCTCCACGTAGGAGTAAAGGTTGGTGTCCCCCAGGCAGACACGGGCCACGTAGGCTCACGAGCAGTAGCTGGTTGGCATTATCAGTGAGCCGGGCCTGCGGGCACTCGGCTGGGTCACGGAAAGGCACGCAGTCGGGACTATCGATGACAGGGCCAGTGACAGCCACAGCCTCAAGCTGCAGCTCGGGGCTGAGCTGGAAGAGGCGGTTGACTGCACCAACGTAGAGCGTGCCCTGGCCCGGCTCCAGTGCCAAGTGGTTGAAGGTGGTGTTGGGTGCGGAAAAGCGATGGACCCAAGTCGAGGACAGTGGCGGTGGGGACAGCAGCAGCAGCAGCAGGAGGTGGAGGCCAAGGGGAGGCCAGGGAGCCATCACTGGGGCCTGGGGGAGAGCCGAGTGGTGTGAGGGCAGAGCAGGGTTGGGTGGAGAGGGCCAGAGAGGGAGGGAGACGGGGACAGGGACAGGGAGAAGCAAGGAGAGGGACAGACAGAAACAGAGGGTGCACAGAGAGAGGAGGACAGATAGAGGGACAAAGAGCATCCAAGAATTGGAGAAAGATGAGGGTGGGGGTGGGGAGGGGGTGCGCGCACGTGCACACGCAAGAAAGACTCTTTCCTTTTCCACTTTATATGCATCTAGATTTTTGAACAGGGGCAGAACCCTGAAAAGCCACAAGAGCACTAACAGAGGGATGCGAAGTGACAGAGGGTCAGGGATGGCGGGAGGAGAGACCACGGAAGGCAGGGGAGGGGAGGGAGAGAGCTGAGGCTGAGCCCCGAGACACCCTGGAAGACATGGGAGAAGGGAGGCTGGTGGAACCCACGTGGCGGCGTGACCCTGCACCCGCCACCCAGGCAAGAGAGATGGCACGGGGGCAAGAGGAGTGAGGCTGCCACACAGCAAGGGAGCACACCTATGGCATGAGGACAGGGAGGGAAAACTCGCCCTGGGCAGTTAGGGCCAGCTGCAAAGAGGGACCCTCACCAGCCGGGGGAGAGAGCCAGGGAGAAACTGAGGCAGCCAGGGGGCCCCAGACCAAGATGCAGCCAGACATTGCTGTGGCCTGTCCTAAAGATGGCAAGGAGGGGCCGGCCCGGTGGCTCACTCGGGAGAGTGCGGTGCTGATAACACCAAGGCCGCGGGTTCGGATCCCATATAGGGATGGCCGGTTTGCTCACTGGCTGAGTGTGGTGCTGACAACACCAAGTCGAGGGTTAAGATCCCCTTACTGGTCATCTTTAAAAAAAAAAAAAAGATGGCAAGGAGCAGGTGGCTAGGGCCATGCCACAGAGGGCCTTAGCCCAGCTGGGTTGGTCAGGGCAGAGGTGGGGGAGGCCGGGCGTGGATGTTGATGTGGAGGGGGCTGCATGAGAAGAGGGAGGGAGGGGAGCAAGCCAGAAAGAGCTGAACAGTGGGGCTGGGGTGGGGACACACTTGCCTAGGGGGGCCTAGGCTGAGTCCCGAGGGCGAGGGTGGGGACTCTGAGTGCAGCCGGCCGCCCAGGTGGCAGACACAGAGAGAGATGTGACCCTGGGCAGAGCCCCTGGGAAGGTGCAGAAGCTGGAGGCAGGGCCCGAGGCCCGGGTCCTGAGTTGAGCTGGGGTCTGCGCGGCCGCGGCCAAGCGGGTGGGCACGTGCCAGCTGGGAGCAGGCCCGCTGGCACGCAGAGCCGGAGCAGGGCCGGAGAAGGGCCCAGGGCCCCTTATCTCAGGGCCACAGGCAGGAAGGGCAGGGGCACTTCCTCCAGAGCCCGGGATATCTGCGCCAGTGCTGGGTGGGGGTGGGAGCAGAGGGGCTGCAGCCCGGGGAAGCGCCGGACGTTGGAAACCCTGTGTGTCCTGAGCCCTGGCCTGTGCTATTTTACTCTGTCCCAGCCCTCCCAGGGACATCTTTGGGGACCTGGGGCCCAGGCACTTACCGCCACACAGGGGTGCAGTGCAGAACGGTCCTGGGTGGTGTGGCACATCTCCTCAGCTCAGCTGCCTGGGGGCAGTGGCGACGGGCACAGACTGGCTGTGGGGGCATTGTCCTGAGTGGGAGGGAGACGGTCGAGGCTCGGCCCCATTCACGCCAGCCCTCAGGGAGGAGGGGGGCGGGTGTGCAGGCAGGGGCCTGGAGACCAGGCTCCACCACAGCTGGCAGCTTTGTCAATAGTGGCCGGGCCAAGGCAGCCCTGCCTCCACCCCAACAATGTCCCCTCTGTCCAGAGGCCCAGGCCAGGGACCCACTATCTGGTGCTCTTACCCCCACCGGGGCTGTTCTGAACAGGGGGCTCCCTGCCACTCCCCGCCCCCAGAGAGACACCCCCTGGGATCTGGGGACAAAGGGACACGGTTTCCTTCAACCAATCCTCCCCATCTGGCCCCACAACCCGTGTGCCAGCCAAGCGTGCCCCTCCCTGCATCCCCCAGGGTCCCTGTGAAGGGCACAGGGTAGGCTTCAGAGCCCCCACAGCAGGGTCAGAGGTAGCCTTGGTGCCCTGCTGAAGTGCCAGTCTTAGCCCTCAATGCTGCCTTTGTCCGGGCTGGGGGCAGAGGAGGTGCTGACAAAGGCGGCCCATCCAGAAGACCTTCTCCCCCAAGAAGACTGGCCAGAGAGCAAGCAGCTAGGCTGTTCCCACCCAGTCCTGCCCCCGGGGACTGGCAAAGTCGTGCCAGGTGCAGCATGGTGGTGGTGGGTAGTGCCAGCAGAGGATGCTGCTTGAGAGGGGCTGAGGCAAAGAGGGGCCACAGGAGAGGGGGTGAGGGGCTCAGCCACCAGGAACCCAGCCAGTAGCTTCAGGCATGGCAACTGGTTGCCGGCTCCCCGCCCTCCACCCCAGGGAAACACCATCTCAGGATGGGCTTAGACACCACCTCCCTGCATGGGGTGGCTCCCCTACCACTCTCACAGGGCACCCTGGGGCCACTAGCCTCAGGGCCTATGGCACAGGGGCAGGTGCACTTGGGTTAGGGTCTCTGCCTTTCCCATGGAGCAGCACAGGCCACCAGGCTGTGGGGGTGGGGAGTCAGGCGAGCAGCCTCCCTCCCCTGCCCCCTGTTCCAGGTTGGCGGCAGCTCTCTCATTTAGGGGCAGAAGCCCCGGTTCCTCACCTCCTAACTCCACAGCCAGCCCCTCGGGGGGCACCGTGCCCCCAGGCATCAAGAGGTGCCCTTGTAGGGTTGGGGCTGGCGCCTGAGGGCCTTTGCCTGACCCCAGCTAGTCGGCCCTGCGGACCCTGGCTTCTCCCTGGCCTGCGCATGCCCCAAGACGGCGCCCCTCTGCCCAGTGGCCCCTACACCCCGCACCCATGCCACACCCGGCTCCTGCCTACCTGGGCGGGCCACCAGCGGGGGCCAAGGAGCAGCTGGCGTTGCCAGGAGTGCATCCCAGTGGAGCCCAGCCTCCCTCCCCACAATGCAATCGCCCAGCCCGACTCATCCTGGCGGGCGGCCGGTCAGCCCGGCCCCTCCCCGCCCGCCCCGTTGGGCACTGCTGCCCTCTGCTGGCCTCGGTGGGCATGGCGGAGGGCAGGGAGTGGGCACCTGGCTGGAGCAGGTGAGAGAGGCAGTGCCCTCCCATCCGTTGAGCATGCAGGCATTCCATAACCTTCCACGAAGTGCCTACCTGGTGCCAGGCTTGGGCTTGGTACTGGTGCCATTCCGAGACGAGACATTCTGTAGATGTTCACACATTTAGTCCTCCCAGTGACCCCAGGAGGGGGTATAGTTATTTTCCCTGGTTTCCAGGTGGGGAAGCTGAGGCACAGGAGGTTAGGGAACTTGCACAAAGTCACACAGCTGGTAAGTGGCAAGGCTAAGAATCAACCACAGGGCCCTTGTACGTAACCATCAGGCTACATGGCCTTGAACCATGAACTGTGGTAGGCATTGGGCAGGAAGGGAGATGGGGCCTGCCTGAGGCCAGGCCTAAGGTTCACATGCCCACGTGGTGTGGAGGAAACCACCAGTGTTTCCCCCTGCCTGGAGCATAAGGTTGGTCAAGGGTGGGCTGCGAGGGCGGGGAGGCCAGCAAATCAGGCAAGGTCTCAGCAGCCAGGCTCCAGCACTCGGGCTTGCCTCTCCATGGCCTCATAAACAGCTTTGCATTTGGGCCAGAGCAAGCTGGTGGCCCTGGGGTGGGGAACGTGGGAAGCCTGGGCCAGGGGTGGCTGTGGGCCTGGAGAGAGGTGAGTGCATTCCAGATATGCACTGGGGGCTGGATCCAGGAGATGGTGTTGAATGGGGTGGAGGAGGTGATGGCAGGAGAATCCAGGAGACTTTGGGTCCTTTCTGCTGGGTCATCATTCTTTACGGGGCAGGGTCACCAATGGAGTGGCGGACAGCAGGAGAGGATGGTAAGACTGAGGGGCCCACAGGCAGGAGGAAATGGACAGTGGGGCCATTGGGGTCTTGGGGCGAGAAACTCAGCTTAGGGTGACCGGAGCACTGGGAGTGGGTGAAGATTGCTAGAAGGGACTTGGAAGGGAGGCCAGGGGTGTGGCTGACAGTGATTGTCCCAGAGCCTGAAGGCTCAGCAGATGTGGAGGGCAAGAGTTCACTGTGTTACTGCCTCTGTCTGTGCACCTGCCCAACAGGTGTCTGTCCTGTCGAGCACACATGGAGAAGAAATGGGGCACAGAGGCAGGTGACTGCCTAAGGCCATGGCCACGCTTCCGACTGCTGAACTCCAGAGCCTCTCACCTGTGGCTCCGAGGACATGAAGGTAAACCAGACAGGCCTGGCCTGCTCTCCTGAGGGGAGGGACCAACCACAAGTGAGCGAGCCAGCGCGTGTGCTATGGCAGCTGGCCAGGGGTCTCTTCCCCGAGGGGGAGGCCAGGTGGGTATGAAAGGGACAGGAGGGATCTAGAGGCTCCAGGAGGGTCAGGCTCGGGGGAAGGGGCTCTGAGCAGCAGGACTGAAAGGACTGTCCCTCAGGCACACCTCCCCCCATAGCTAGCAGGCCTGTCTCTGGCCTTCTCTCCCACCCCCACCCCAAAACACGCAGATATATCCTTGGTGGCCTCAGGAAAGACAGACACCTTCAATCTGGCACTGGGAATGTTTTTTTCTACCTTTCCACAGAAGAAAACCAATTCATCCACAGGAACACATCTTCATAAACATGTGTGTCTACGGCCTGCAAGGGCACCGCCCACCCTTTCTGAGCACACAACAGGCACAGCTAAAGCAGCGCCTAGTGTGAGGCCAGCGGTGACCATAAAGGACCCATGCTGGTTCTGGGAGCGTGAACATCTTATACGAGGGGAGTCGTGCTGGGCCTACCCTGTGAGTGGCTTATTCCCTCGCCACCGTACTTTGCAGATATGGCCGCCCTGCCCCACACGGATCTTCCATTTGGGCAGCTGTACAGGACTCTGTTTATCGGTTTCCCTACTAAGGGGCGGAGAGGTGGCCTCGAATGATCTGCTGCTGTCTTCTTGCTGTGTGCCAGGTTCGCTAGATGCCGGAAGGGGCTCGCTGGGTCAGAGGGGTGTGAGCTTCACATTTGCTAGGCCTGGAGAAGTCGCTTTCCACGCTGGCACCCCACCCAGCACTCCCAGTGCCACTGTATGCACATTGCTTCTGCTTCTCCACATCTTTGCCAACACTGGCCAGCAGACTCGGTACTTCTTGCCAGTACAATGGGTGTGAAATGGTATCTTGCTGGGCTCTGACTTAGCATTCCCTGACTAATAGTAATATTGAACCTCTTTTTGTTTCTTCTGTGAAACACCTGCGTGTGTCTTTTGCCAATATTTCTGTGTAGGTTGTCTTTTCCTTATTATTTTGTAGGCATTCTTTATATATTCTAGATACCAGTCCTTGGGTGGTTATGTCTTCTTCCCACCTGCTACTTGTCTTCTCAGTTTGCTTATGGTATCATTTGATGAATAGAAGGTCTTAATGTTCATATAGCAGTGTTTATCAATCTTATCTTCTATGGCTTGTAATTTTTGTCTTGTTTAAGAAATTTTCTCCGGGCACCATTTATTGAAGAGGCAGTCTTTTCCCCAATGTATGTTCTCGATGCCTTTGTTAAAGATTAGTTGGCGGGCCGGCCCGTGGCTCACTCGGGAGAGTGTGGTGTTGATAACACCAAGGCCCCGGGTTCGGATCCCATATAGGGATGGCCGGTTTGCTCACTGGCTGAGCATGGTGCTGACAACACCAAGTCAAGGGTTATGATCCCCTTACCGGTCATCTTTTAAAAAAAAAAAAAAAAAAAAAAAGATTAGTTGGCTAGGGGCCGGCCCGGTGGCGCACTGCTACAGTGCGCCGCTTGGGAAGTGCGGCAGGCGCTCCCGCCGAGGGTTCGGATCCCACATACAGACCGGTTCCCGCTCACTGGCTGAGCGAGGAGCGGGGGCAACACCGAGGGTTGCGATCCCGTTGCCGGTCCCGGTCCGGTACGGGCGCGACACACTGAGGGTTGCGATCCGTTGCCGGTCACAAAATAAAAAAAAAAAAAGATTAGTTGGCTGTAAGAATGTGGGTTGATTTTTGGGTTCTCTACTCTTTTTTTTTTTTTTTTTTG